CCTGCATCAGTAGGATGACCCAAATCCCAAAAGAAAGAAGATTTAGGATTCTCACAAACCTTATACTTCTTAACGTTGTTCACAACCATTCCACAAAAATACTTACTACTCTCTCCAACACAACAAGGTTCCAACTCATTCTTAATGTTGTGTGTGGATGGATTCTTCAACACCGACATGAAGCTATCGTATATATCAAGAACTATAAAGGGTGATGAATCATCTTTGATTTGTTGGTTCAATTTTATGACAGCCTTGGTTAAGAGGGTGTTATGGTAATATACGAGGAGGCTGTTAGATGTTTCATTGCATTGTTTGAATGAAGATGAGGCTGTTTCTGAAGGTAGACATCCCATTGGTGGTAGATTTGTTATAATCACTTTTTTCACTCGTAATTCTTTGATGCGAATTAGGTTTGTGATTGTTTGATTAACCACTGATGATATGAAAGATGGTAAACTCTGCATGTATAATAAACATGAGTGAGATTAAGTTTAAGATGATAAAATTTTAGATTTTAAAATAATAAGTAAACAAAAAACATGTACCTGAATAGAGCCATCTTTGACATAACGAAGGTAGTCATTTCCTGCGATAGAAACAAGAGCAGCTGATTTTCTAATATCTGAGGCTGTGAATACTTTTTCTTGTATTGACTTTTCAAAAAAAGTGATCTAGGTTGTCATGTTTGGAAGAAGTGGATTGATTGTTTCAAACACACCAGAACCACCAAATGCAAAGCTCATTCCATTTTTCAAATGATGTGGTGCCAAATGTTCTACTTTTGTATATCATACTAGTAATTTCACTTTCAAATACTTGGCTGTAATTGCATGTATAATGCAAGTAATCAGATACATTTTTTAAACTTCAATTAATAGTAATGAATCTATTGAACATACCAATGTAGTCGGTGAGGACTCTTCCGTCGGAGAAACGACCGGAGGGTTCGCTGTGAAAGGTGACACCATAAGGAACGTTCCATGGAGGATAAAAATGTTTTTCGATGTTGCCCGTGTCAGCGTCATAATCTCCAAACACAAACAATTTTTGTATACGATGATCATGTTGAACATCAGCCTCACCTCGTACAACTCTTTGTCCTATGAATAAACAAACAATATTAAGGTTAACATGAAACAATAAATTTAAAATCGAAAGAAAAAAAACATTTTAGTAAGTTAATATGAACCTGAGAGATGAAGAATGAGGAAAATGAAAGGGAGGAGAAAGGAAAAAAAATCCATGAATGGGTTTTGCTACGTGGTTAGTAGCTAAAGGTTTTGAAATTTGAAGAGAATAGAGGAATTTATATACACAATATGAATGACACAATTAGCTACCAAATTTGTTTGTATTAAAATAGAAAAAAATTAATTGTTTTCTAAATATAATAAAACAAAACAAAACCGTATTGTTATATGGTGTTGGTGTCAGTATAGATGTCAAAATATCAATTCTTGAGGATTGAATTTCTATTTGAATATCATTAAGTTATTATCGTATATACACCATATGAATGACACATTTAGCTGCTGGATGATGTGTATTTAAATAGAAAAAATTAATAGTTTTCTAAATATAATAAAACAAAATTGTATTATTATACGGTGTTGGTGTCAATTTAGGTGTTGAATGTCAATTCTATTATTTTGAAGTTCCATATCCATTCAATACCCTATTATTTTGATGTTTTTTATTTATTAAAATACCATCTTATTAAGAAAAAGCAGCAGAAACATCATAGTCTTCTTGCACACGAGGGACACATCCCAACCATGTTTTAGTTCTTAGCTTGTACCTAAGTCCCACCAGCTAGTGAGCATATTGGTTTTGATTCCTGTTAACATACATGACAATAACATCTAAAAACTTTTCAAAAAGAGACAAGCAATTAACAACAATGAGATCTAAAACAACATAAAAAATAATATGATTCAGACAGTTAACCACTAATAAGGCGTCTGATTGTAGCACAATGCTTGTTATGCTCAAATCTGCCGCCATCTACAGGCCTCAACGTATAGCTAATGCTTAAACAATAGCGGGAGATGTCCTCGTTGTTAAAGGTCTAAACTCACTCTACAATACTCTCTGCTACCACCGAGGGGATGAATGCCTCATTGTTAAAAATATTATTGTTCTTGCTGACCAAATTTTCCACAGAGTAACACAGACTAATTGAGTGTCATAGGGGTCACTCGCCATCAACCAACTATCCAGGCAATCATGGAGATCAATAGATGGGGAAATATGCAACCTAATAGGGGAAGAGAACCAAACCATTTTAGTGATGGTGCATTCCATGAATAATAATAAAAACAATAATAATATTAATAATAATAATAATAATAATAATAATAATAATAATAATAATAATAATAATAATATGATTTTCATAATTTAAAAACCGGGAAAAAAAGGGAGTGAATGAGTGAGAATAGGGAAAAAAGTGAAAGTTCAAAAGTATTAAGTAACAACTTGACATAATGCGCATAATTTTGCTGAAGAATTATAAATTAATTTGGGAGATTTTATTTACCGTTTTAAAATTTTGCAAATATAATAATTTCAAAGTAAAAGAGTCATATTGATAATGTGTCTGAATCTTTTTTCTTAAATATGTAGATGATGACCGATAAATGCTTTTGTTAACAATCACCTTCTCCAAAACAGCGGGAATAAATACAAAACAAAACACAATTTTTTTAGTAGAAAAACAAAACATAATTTAAGAAACAAAATGAATCTAACAAACAAAAAGTGGACATGTATTATTATTCATCACAAACAAAACTAACAAAAACCAAAAACTAATAGTTTCTCTAATAGTGAGAACTCAGGGGTTTCTTATCTTTTTAATTATTGTAGAGTGATGATGAGACAACATTGATCCTTTAAATTTAAAGGATGAAACTGTTAAGATAAGTCTAATATATTATTAGTTATATTAAGTAGGAAAATATTGTGTGTTGTAAATAATTTATTTGTAATTATTGTGTGCATCTGTCATTTCCTTAATAGAAGAGGAATTATAGGGTCTATTTTGTATATATATTGTATCATGATCAATGAATAATATATCAAAATTATTACTTTGAAAACTTCTATATGGTATATAGAATCAGGAAATACCTTTAGAGAGTTCACTTAATCTTATGACGTTACCAAAAGGGAAGAAGACTGTAGGGTGCAAATGGGTTTAGCAAATTAAACACAAAGCTGATGGAACTATTGAAAGGTATAAAGCTTGACTAGTGGCTAAAGGTTACGCTCAATCTTACGGTGTAGACTATCAAGAGACATTTGTGCCGGTAGCCAAACTCAACACTGTGAGAATACCTTTGTCATTGGCAGCAAACCAAGATTGGCTTCTTCTATAATTTGATGTGAAAAATGCTTTCCTACATGGAGAAATTTTAGAAGAAATTTATATGGATTTACCACCAGGTATGATAGATTCAATGAGGTGAAGGCTTGCAAGTTAAGGAAGGCTTTATATGGATTAAAACAATCCCCAAGAGCATGGTTTGGTAGGTTTATTAAGTCTATGAAGGCTTTTGGCTATAAAGCAAGTAACTCTGATCACACCTTATTTTTGAAGAAAGGAGAAGGTAAAATTACAACTTTGATTATTTATGTAGATGATATGATTGTTACAGGGAATGACCAATATGAGATGTCTAGTTTGCAAAAATACCCCGCTTCTGAATTTGAGATGAAGCAACTTGGAAACCTCAAATATTTCTTGGGTATTGAAGTAGCTAGATCTAAACATGGTATTTTTCTATGTCAAAGAAAGTATACTCTTGATTTACTATCTGAAACTGGACTGCTTGGGTGTAAACCCGTTGATACCCCAATTGAACAAAAACCATATGCTATTTCAATGCCAAAATTAAGCCAACATAGACAAAGGGAAATATCAGAGGTTGGTGGGCAAACTAATTTACTTATCTCATACACGACCAGATATTACATATGCAGTAAATGTCGTTAGTCAATTTATGCATGATCCACGGAAAGCTCATATGAATGCTGTTGAAAGGATCTTGAGATATTTGAAGTCCACTTCTAGAAAAGGAATTTTATTCTCAAATCATGGAAACTTGAAGGTAGAAGGGTATACTGACGCTGATTGGGCAGGTTCAAGAAATGATAGAAGGTCTACCTCTAGTTACTTTACATTTGTAGGAGGGAATCTTGTAACTTGGAGGAGAAAAAAACAACCGGTAGTAGCAAGGTCTAGTGCTGAAGCAAAGTTTAGAGACATGGCATTGGGAGTTTTTGAGCTTTTATGGATACAAAATGTTCTATCAGATTTGGGTTTTGAATCAAAGGAGACTATGGATTTGTATTGTGACAATACATCAGCAATTGCAATTGCTCACAATCCTGTGCAACATGATAGAACGAAGCATATAGAAATCGATATACATTTTATCAAAGAGAAACTTGAAACTGCAATAATTTCTTTTCCTTTTGTAAGATCTGAATTGCAGTTAGCAGATGTTCTCACTAAAGGAGTGGCAAGTAAGGTGTTTAATGAGTCTTTAGTCAAGTTGGGAATGTGTGATATCCATGCACCAACTTGAGTGGGGGTGTTAAGATAAGTCAAATATATTATTAGCTATATTAAGTAGGAAATATCTATGCTGTAAATAATTTATTTGAAATTATTGTGTGCATCTGTCTTTTCCTTAATAGAATAGAAATGATAGCGGCTATTTTGAATATATATTGTATCATGATCAATGAATAATATATCAGAATTATTACTTTGAAAACTTCTATAGAAATTTGGTAACAACAATATGAAAAAGTAAAGAACTTAACTTTAAATACTATTATTATTATTTCAATCAATACAATTGAAAAGTGATTATTAAATTGTAATAAAAAATAATATAAATTGATCGAGTCAGATAGATATTGTTTATTTACAATTATAATAGAATAAAAGTAATAAAAAATGCTTATAGATTCTTTAAATGTAATGCTTAATGGTCCTGAATCTGTTCAAGAGCATTGCTTTTTCTTAGCATGGTATAAACAGCACGCCACCCTGCATCAGTAGGATGACCCAAATCCCAAAAGAAAGCAGATTTTGGATTCTCACAAACCTTATACTTCTTAACGTTGTTCACAACCATTCCACAAAAATACTTACTACTCTCTCCAACACAACAAGGTTCCAACTCATTCTTAATGTTGTGTGTGGATGGATTCTTCAACACCGACATGAAACTATCGTATATATCAAGAACTATAAAGGGTGATGAATCATCGTTGATTTGTTGGTTCAATTTTGTGACAGCCTTGGTTAAGAGGGTGTTATGGTAATGTACGAGGAGGCTGTTAGATGTTTCATTGCATTGTTTGAATGAAGATGAGGCTGTTTCTGAAGGTAGACATCCCATTGGTGGTAGATTTGTTATAATCACTTTTTTCACTCCTAATTCTTTGATGCGAATTAGGTTTGTGATTGTTTGATTAACCACTAATGATATGAAAGATGGTAAACTCTGCATGTATAATAAACATGAGTGAGATTAAGTTTAAGATGATAAAATTTTAGATTTTAATATAATAAGTAAACAAAAAATATGTACCTGAATAGAGCCATCTTTGACATAACGAAGGTAGTCATTTCCTGCGATAGAAACAAGAGCAGCTGATTTTCTAATATCTGAGGTTGTGAATACTTTTTCTTGTATTGACTTTTCAAAAAAATTGATCTGGGTTGTCATGTTTGGAAGAAGTGAATTGATTGTTTCAAACACACCAGAACCACCAAATGCAAAGCTCATTCCATTTTTCAAATGATGTGGTGCCAAATGTTCTACTTTTGTATATGATACTGGTAATTTCACTTTCAAATACTTGGCTGCAATTGCATGCATAATGCAAATTATCAGATACATTTTTTAAACTTCATTTAATAGTAATGAATCAATTGGACATACCAATGTAGTCGGTGAGGACTCTTCCGTCGGAGAAACGGCCGGAGGGTTCGCTGGGAAAGGTGACACCATAAGGAACGTTCCATGGAGGATAAAAACCTTTTTCGATGTTGCCTGTGTCAGCGTATGAATCTCCAAACACAAACAATTTTTGTATACGATGATCATGTTGAACATCAGCCTCACCTCGTACAACTCTTTGTCCTATGAATAAACAAACAATATTAAGGTTAACATGAAACAATAAATTTAAAATCGAAAGAAAAAAAAACATTTTAGTAAGTTAATATGAACCTGAGAGATGAAGAATGAGGAAAATGAAAGAGAGGAGAAAGGAAAAGAAATCCATGAATGGGTTTTGCTACGTGGTTAGTAGCTAAAGGTTTGGAAGAGAGGGAAGTGATGAATGAAGGTTTTGAAATTTGAAGAGAATAGAGGAATTTATATACACAATTTGAATGACACAATTAGCTACCAGTTTTGTTTGTATTAAAATAGAAAAAAAATTAATTGTTTTCTAAATATAATAAAACAAAACAAAACCATATTGTTATATGGTGTTGGTGTCAGTATAGATGTCAAAATATCAATTCTTGAGGATTGAATTTCTATTTGAATATCATTAAGTTATTATCGTATATACACCATATGAATGACACATTTAGCTGCTGGATGATGTGTATTTAAATAGAAAAAATTAATAGTTTTCTAAAGATAATAAAACAAAATTGTATTATTATACGGTGTTGGTGTCAATTTAGGTGTTGAATGTCAATTCTATTATTTTGAAGTTCCATATCCATTCAATACCCTATTATTTTGATGTTTTTTATTTATTAAAATACCATTTCATTAAGAAAAAGCAGCAGAAACATCATAGTCTTCTTGCACACGAGGGACACATCCCAACCATGTTTTAGTTCTTAGCCTGTACCTAAGTCCCACCAGCTAGTGAGCATATTGGTTTTGATTCCTGTTAACATACATGACAATAACATCTAAAAACTTTTCAAAAAGAGACAAGCAATTAACAACAATGAGTTCTAAAACAACATAAAAAATAATATGATTCAGACAGTTAACCACTAATAAGGCGTCTGATTGTAGCACAATGCATTTTATCCTCAAATCTGCCGCCATCTACAGGCCTCAACGTATAACTAAGGCTTAAACAATAGCGGGAGAAGTCCTCGTTGTTAAAGGTTTAAACTCACTCTACAATACTCTCTGCTACCACCGAGGGGATGAATGCCTCATTGTTAAAAATATTATTGTTCTTGCTGACCAAATTTTTCACAGAGTAACACAGACTAATTGAGTGTCATAGGGGTCACTCGCCATCAACCAACTATCCAGGCAATCATGGAGATCAATAGATGGGGAATATGCAACCTAATAGGGGAAGAGAACCAAACCATTTTAGTGATGGTGCATTCCATGAATAATAATAAAAACAATAATAATATTAAATAATAATAATAATAATAATAATAATAATAATAATAATAATAATAATAATAATAATAATAATATGATTTTCACAATTTAAAAACCGGGAAAAAAAGGGAGTGAATGAGTGAGAATAGGGAAAAAAGTGAAAGTTCAAAAGTATTAAGTAACAACTTGACATAATGCGCATAATTTTGCTGAAGAATTATAAATTAATTTGGGAGATTTTATTTACCGTTTTAAAATTTTGCAAATATAATAATTTCAAAGTAAAAGAGTCATATTGATAATGTGTCTGAATCTTTTTTCTTAAATATGTAGATGATGACCGATAAATGCTTTTGTTAACAATCACCTTCTCCAAAACAGCGGGAATAAATACAAAACAAAACACAATTTTTTTAGTAGAAAAACAAAACATAATTTAAGAAACAAAATGAATCTAACAAACAAAAAATGGACATGTATTATTATTCATCACAAACAAAACTAACAAAAACCAAAAACTAATAGTTTCTCTAATAGTGAGAACTCAGGGGTTTCTTATCTTTTTAATTATTGTAGAGTGATGATGAGACAACATTGATCCTTTAAATTTAAAGGATGAAACTGTTAAGATAAGTCTAATATATTATTAGTTATATTAAGTAGGAAAATATTGTGTGTTGTAAATAATTTATTTGTAATTATTGTGTGCATCTGTCATTTCCTTAATAAAAGAGGAATTATAGGGTCTATTTTGTATATATATATATATTGTATCATGATCAATAAATAATATATCAAAATTATTACTTTGAAAACTTCTATATGGTATATAGAATCAGGAAATACCTTTGGAGAGTTCACTTAATCTTATGACGTTACCAAAAGGGAAGAAGACTGTAGGGTGCAAATGGGTTTATATAATTAAACACAAAGCTGATGGAACTATTGAAAGGTATAAAGCTTGACTAGTGGCTAAAGGTTACGCTCAATCTTACGGTGTAGACTATCAAGAGACATTTGTGCCGGTAGCCAAACTCAACACTGTGAGAATACCTTTGTCACTGGCAGCAAACCAAGACTGGCTTCTTCTATAATTTGATGTGAAAAATGCTTTCCTACATGGAGAAATTTTAGAAGAAATTTATATGGATTTACCACCAGGTATGATAGATTCAATGAGGCGAAGGCTTGCAAGTTAAGGAAGGCTTTATATGGATTAAAACAATCCCCAAGAGCATGGTTTGGTAGGTTTATTAAGTCTATGAAGGCTTTTGGCTATAAAGCAAGTAACTCTGATCACACCTTATTTTTGAAGAAAGGAGAAGGTAAAATTACAACTTTGATTATTTATGTAGATGATATGATTGTTACAGGGAATGACCAATATGAGATGTCTAGTTTGCAAAAATACCCCGCTTCTGAATTTGAGATGAAGCAACTTGGAAACCTCAAATATTTCTTGGGTATTGAAGTAGCTAGATCTAAACATGGTATTTTTCTATGTCAAAGAAAGTATACTCTTGATTTACCATCTGAAACTGGACTGCTTGGGTGTAAACCTGTTGATACCCTAATTGAAAAAAACCATATGCTATTTCAATGCCAAAATTCAGCCAACATAGACAAAGGGAAATATCAGAGGTTGGTGGGCAAACTAATTTACTTATCTCATACACGACCAGATATTACATATGCAGTAAATGTCGTTAGTCAATTTATGCATGATCCACGAAAAGCTCATATGAATGCTGTTGAAAGGATCTTGAGATATTTAAAGTCCACTTCTAGAAAAGGAATTTTATTCTCAAATCATGGAAACTTGAAGGTAGAAGGGTATACCGACGCTGATTGGGCAGGTTCAAGAAATGATAGAAGGTCTACCTCTAGTTATTTTACATTTGTAGGAGGGAATCTTGTAACTTGGAGGAGAAAAAAACAACCGGTAGTAGCAAGGTCTAGTGCTGAAGCAAAGTTTAGAGACATGGCATTGGGAGTTTGTGAGCTTTTATGGATATAAAATGTTCTATCAGATTTGGGTTTTGAATCAAAGGAGACTATGGATTTGTATTGTGACAATACATCAGCAATTGCAATTGCTCACAATCCTGTGCAACATGATAGAACGAAGCATATAGAAATCGATATACATTTTATCAAAGAGAAACTTGAAACTGCAATAATTTCTTTTCCTTTTGTAAGATCTGAATTGCAGTTAGCAGATGTTCTCACTAAAGGAGTGGCAAGTAAGGTGTTTAATGAGTCTTTAGTCAAGTTGGGAATGTGTGATATCCATGCACCAACTTGAGTGGGGGTGTTAAGATAAGTCAAATATATTATTAGCTATATTAAGTAGGAAATATCTATGCTGTAAATAATTTATTTGAAATTATTGTGTGCATCTGTCTTTTCCTTAATAGAATAGAAATGATAGCGGCTATTTTGAATATATATTGTATCATGATCAATGAATAATATATCAGAATTATTACTTTGAAAACTTCTATAGAAATTTGGTAACAACAATATGAAAAAGTAAAGAACTTAACTTTAAATACTATTATTATTATTTCAATCAATACAATTGAAAAGTGATTATTAAATTGTAATAAAAAATAATATAAATTGATCGAGTCAGATCGATATTGTTTATTTACAATTATAATAGAATAAAAGTAATAAAAAATGCTTATAGATTCTTTAAATGTAATGCTTAATGGTCCTGAATCTGTTCAAGAGCATTGCTTTTTCTTAGCATGGTATAAACAGCACGCCACCCTGCATCAGTAGGATGACCCAAATCCCAAAAGAAAGCAGATTTAGGATTCTCACAAACCTTATACTTCTTAACGTTGTTCACAACCATTCCACAAAAATACTTACTACTCTCTCCAACACAACAAGGTTCCAACTCATTCTTAATGTTGTGTGTGGATGGATTCTTCAACACCGACATGAAACTATCGTATATATCAAGAACTATAAAGGGTGATGAATCATCGTTGATTTGTTGGTTCAATTTTGTGACAGCCTTGGTTAAGAGGGTGTTATGGTAATGTACGAGGAGGCTGTTAGATGTTTCATTGCATTGTTTGAATGAAGATGAGGCTGTTTCTGAAGGTAGACATCCCATTGGTGGTAGATTTGTTATAATCACTTTTTTCACTCCTAATTCTTTGATGCGAATTAGGTTTGTGATTGTTTGATTAACCACTGATGATATGAAAGATGGTAAACTCTGCATGTATAATAAACATGAGTGAGATTAAGTTTAAGATGATAAAATTTTAGATTTTAAAATAATAAGTAAACAAAAAACATGTACCTGAATAGAGCCATCTTTGACATAACGAAGGTAGTCATTTCCTGCGATAGAAACAAGAGCAGCTGATTTTCTAATATCTGAGGTTGTGAATACTTTTTCTTGTATTGACTTTTCAAAAAAATTGATCTGGGTTGTCATGTTTGGAAGAAGTGAATTGATTGTTTCAAACACACCAGAACCACCAAATGCAAAGCTCATTCCATTTTTCAAATGATGTGGTGCCAAATGTTCTACTTTTGTATATGATACTGGTAATTTCACTTTCAAATACTTGGCTGCAATTGCATGTATAATGCAAATAATCAGATACATTTTTTAAACTTCATTTAATAGTAATGAATCAATTGGACATACCAATGTAGTCAGTGAGGACTCTTCCGTCGGAGAAACGGCCGGAGGGTTCGCTGGGAAAGGTGACACCATAAGGAACGTTCCATGGAGGATAAAAACCTTTTTCGATGTTGCCTGTGTCAGCGTATGAATCTCCAAACACAAACAATTTTTGTATACGATGATCATGTTGAACATCAGCCTCACCTCGTACAACTCTTTGTCCTATGAATAAACAAACAATATTAAGGTTAACATGA